TTTTGTTTTGTTTTGAGTCTCCTGTCCTGAGCCAAAGCATTGATCAGGCCGTGAGAAAGAGAAAAGAATAATCAAAAAAATAATCAAGAGAATAATCCAAAGTGTATAAAGCTTGCGGTGGGGCACGTGTGGTGCTTCTCTCACCCACATCGATCTGCTCTAAATGGGGCACTGATCCCCAATGCCCTTGTGCCATCTTCTGCTTGACCAAGAAGCGAGATTGACAGGGGGGTGGGAGAAGCAGAGAGGTGACAATGACAAGGACAAGGTGTTGTGCTGACCCTCCTCTCCCCAGGTGGACATGTGGGACAGCGACGCTTACAGGTTAGACCTGCAGTTCAGCATCCGTGAGACCGTGTGTGCCAAAGCCTCGGGGAGAGACCCCTCCACCTGTGACTTCAGAACGGGGCCTTTCGTGGTGAGTGGTGACAAYGGGAACCTTCCCCTGATGTGCAGAATCTTCTCAGGATGGGCTGGAATGCCGCTGGTTCTGAAAAATGAGGAAGAGCTGGCATTGGGATACAACCCACGGCATGGAGGGGGCGTTAGGTGGGAAGRGTCAGCGGTGGGAAACTCTTCTGCCTGGTCAGTGGGGGAGTGCAGGGAGCTGAAAAGAGGATTTTCGTGTCTTGGAGCAGTGTGTAGTGAAGTTAAGTCAGCTTTTGGGGCCAAATCCTGGAAGAAATTGCTCATTCTCTGACATGAGAGGGGAGAAGAGCACTTGCTTTTGCCTGTCATGCACCACAGAAAGGGTTCTCTTCCCATAAGTGAAGATTCCCCTCTGTGCTCACAGTACCAATCACTTCCAGATTTTTAACCAGAAATAAAAAAGCTCTTGATACAGCTCTTGATACGTCTCTTGCTCTGCTCTGAGTGTTAAATCACCAGCTTTGGTGGAAATGCATTGTTTTTGAGCTTGGACTTCCCCATGCATGGTTACTTGGGCCAAATCCCACAGAATTCTTGGTTGTTGCTTTTCTGTTTTCGCCTAAAAACACAAATGCTGTCCGCCACGGTGTTACCCTAAACTGACACCATCCCTCTTTTCTTCTTGGGGAAAAACATGGAAGTGTGAGGATGTGTTTCCCAAACTCGAGCTCAGGTTTTGCTGCAGCTTTTTGTCAAATTGCAGACACAGCATCTTTTAGATGCAGTTTAACTTCCAGAGCTGGAGCTGCCATTGACACAGCCCTGTGCTGTCCTTCTTGTGCTTGGTGAAAAGTATGTGGAGATTTTCTCCTACCTCAAGCAAGCTCAACTCTTCACACAGTGAACACGTAGTTGTGGAGCAATAACCCATGTGTAGCCGTGTATGATCTTTTTTGGGTTTCTTCCTCTTGGATTTTGTTTTTTCTTTGTGGGAACTGCAGGTTCCTACAGAGAAACTGCCACGGGAGGGTTTGACTTGGATGTTTGCTCTGTGAGATTGGGCTCTATTTTGTTCTGTTTCAGGCCACTGCTTCCTGCAGGAGTGTGGTGGAAGTCTCCGGGGAGCTCATTTCCAACATCACTGTGCGGTGCCACCGCAGCATGTTCAGCTCCGAATCGATGAGCAGCGAGGAGGTAAGGAAGGGGGAAACTGAGGAGTGGAAATCYTGCCTACCCTCTTTGAAAGAGAACCAGGATTCAGGTGTCTGTGTGTGCTCCTGTTGGAGGTTTGGATCAGGGGAGGGGCTGCAGTTTGAAATTCAGCTGGTTGCTGTAACACTTCCCTTTCCATCAGTTCTCACCTTGCCTGGGAGAGTGTGAATCTCTCTGGCACATCCATCAGCTCCAACACTTTTTTCACTGGAGAAGAGTGACTGACACTTCTTGGACAGTCACAAATCCCTCTGGCTCTGTCACCAAACCCAGCTCTGGTCAGTGCAGCACAGCCCGCGGACATTTGCTCTGCTGAGATCTGCGCTCCCTTTTTCAGTTTTTTTTTTTTCTTTTGTTTTTTCAGGGTGTTTTTAAATGCTGACCTAACTTGGGAATTCTTGCTAACTGTTTCCAAATCGTGCCAGTGTCCCCTTTATCCATGACTTTTGAACTTAGAACACAGCTCCACAGTAGGTGACGTGCTTGAGGGAACAAAGTTTCACTAGCAAGGACAGCTTTTATTTTTGGAAAATTCATAGGGCTAAATAAAGAAGTTGAATTGTAGAATCCCAGAACGGTTTTGGTTGGAAGGTGCCTTAAAGCCCATCCAGTTCCACCCCCTGCCATGGGCAGGGACATTTTCCACCATCCCAGGCTGCTCCAAGCTTTGTCCAGCCTGGTCTTGGACACTGCCAGGGATCCAGGGGCAGCCACAGCTTCTCTGTGCCAGGTTCCTCCTCACAGGGAACAATTCCTTCCCATCTATCCCTTCTCTCCTTCACCTTAAGCCCATTCTCCCTCATCCAGTCACAACAAACCCTTGTGAAAAATCCCTCCCCAGCTGCCTTGCAAGCAAATAGGATTCTGTCTTCCTTTCCCTTGGCTTGAATTACCAAAYTGGCTCTTCATTTATTATTTTTCTCTCAAAATCTCCATTCAGAGCTAGCTATTGAGTGCACCTCGGGAAGCCTGGCTCTGCAGAGCTAGAAGGCTGCACGTGAAGCTGGAATGTGTGACACAGTCTGGGATGTTCAGCCAGTCCTCTGTGGGTTGACATAAATGTTGTTTAACAAGGCACTCAGCACAAACACTTGCTTTTACAAGAGCAGGCATCTTCCCCCAGACCTTTTCAACCATCACTTAGAATTCTCAGCCAATATTCCTGCAGGGGAATGTATTTCCCTGCAATGTTAATAAGGAATAAATGCCAAAGGGAATTGCTGCACTTGGAAAGGAGAGGGTTTCCCTCTGCAGAGGGCTGCAGCAAATGTGTTGCAGCTCCTGCTGTGGAACTCGGCTCAGGGGGTCCCAGCTTGGCTGAGGTGGTGATGATGTGCCTGTGGTGGTGTTTGGGTGGGAGAAGGAATTGTGATTGATGATATTCTGGCATCACAGAATATCCTGATTTGTAGGGGATCCTCGAGTCCACCCCCTGGGCTGCAGGAGCATCACCAGCAATCCTGTTTTCAGCTTAATTCAGAAATTAAGAATGAAATTAATTATTAAGAATTAATAAAATAAACTCCAGAAATGGAGTTGCTTTAATGCCTGGGGAAATGGAGAGGTGGGGACTTCTTCCAGGTGAGTTTTTTTTAAAGAAATGTCTTTACTTTACAGATGATGCATGTGCCCATAGTGACCCCTGACAGGCGAGGCAGTGCTGGCAGGGAAGGTAAGCCCCTTCTGCCATGCTGGGCTACCTGGCCCGTGTTTTCCTTTGGAGTCATCTGAAGGTCATCATCGAGGGAGAAGACAATGTGGAATACAATTTTTTGCTTCTGGTCATGGGAAACTGTTTTTTCCCTTGCTGAGGGGTGTCTAGCTGAGGGTGCAGGGAGGGCACTGTGCTGCCAAACCCAAGGTTAAATAATTTTTTTCTGGATTGCCAGATTTGTGCTCTTAAAACTGGAATTTGTGTACAGAATGCTGAGCATTTTCTGTTGTGGAGTCACAGAGTGGTCTGGGTTGGGAGGGATGTGAAAGCTCATCCCATTCCAGCCACCTTCCACTATCCCAGATGGCTCCAAGCACCGTCCAACCTGGCCTTGGACACTTCAATGGATCCAGGGGCAGACACAGCTTCTCTGGGCAACTACCAACAYGTGTTTGAAAGCACCTCATACTCACAGATGTCTCCGTTTTCTTTTTTTAGGCAATGCTTTTGCTCCTGAAGCCTTCCCTTCAAGGGGAAGAGGCGGCAGCCGTGGGGACTGGGACAAACCCAGCCACTTCAGCTCTGGCAGAATGGAATAACCTGGTTTGGGTGAGTGTGGGTCAGGGTTGAGGGAGTCAAAGAGCTCTCAGGTCCAGGAACATCCCAGTTTTGAGTTGTCCATTCCATATACTCTGTCACACGCCTAGGGTGCAGGGAATGTGAGAAGTGTGTGAGGAAATCCATCTGTAAACTCAGAGTTTGAGTTTAGTACAGGGTTCAAGCCTTTGTATCTCAATTTTCCTTGTGACAAGAAGGACACTCAGGGGCTGGAGCATGTCCAGGGAAGGGAATGGAGCTGGGGAAGGGGCTGGAGAAGCAGGAGAAGCTGAGGGAGCTGGGAAAGGGGAGAAAAGGGGGATCAGGGGGAACCTTGTGGCTCTGCACAACTCCCTGACAGGAGGGGATCTGTTTCCAGGGAACAGGGACAGGAGGAGAGGGAATGGCCTCAGGCTGGGCCAGGGGAGGTTTAGATTAGACATTAGGATTTTTTTTTTTCCCACAAAAATGGTTGTAAAGCATTGGAACAGGCTGCCCAGGCAGGTGGTGGAGTCACCATCCCTGGAATCATTCAAAAACCACTGGATGTGGATGTGGTTTAGTGGTGCTGCGTTGATGGCTGGACTCGCTGATCCTAAAAGCCTCTTCCAACCTTCACAATTCCGTGATCCCGTCTCTCCTGGTTGTCAGATATGATTCTGTCTGATGTTTCCTGGATCACCTGCACCTCATCCAAACCAGTTTCCCTCAGCAGTTTGGCTCTGGTGGAAAGACAAATGAATTGTGGGGTGCCCCGGCGCTTCAGAATCACCCACCACCTCCGTGCTGCTGCTCTCCTCCCTCGCAGGGCTCGTTGAGCGCATCCTGCGGATTCCTGGAGGTCATTATCCTGCACATTCCTGGAGGTCATTATCCTGCACATTCCTGGAGGAATGGACGTGTCTTTGTGCCGATTCCAGTGCCACAGGGCCGCACAAACAAACAAACAAACCGAAGGGATGCGGGAGAACCGCAGCGTAGGTTGCCGGGGAAAAGCACTGGTCTCGGAGAATCCCTGAAGGAGATGTTTGGAGCCCAATTAACGGGAAGGATAATGAGAGACACCCGTGATTTATTGGAGCTGGCAGGGCCTGTCCTACACCAAGAACCTTTGCTCCTGCATGGGATGCAGCCCTAATAGCTGCTGATGCTTCACCTGCCATCTCAGGGAATTAATCTGAAGGGATGCGCTTTGAAGGAGTTTCAGCAAYGGGATGAGCTCATTCCTTGGCGTGCTAAGCGGCTTTAAAGTGGCTGAGGAAGGGAGAGGAAATGACTTAGCGCTCTGTGTTTGTGATTAAAAAGGTTTGGGTGCGCATCGTTCGCGGGTCTCTGTCCCCACGGGAGCGCCAGAACTGAGCGCTCCCGGTTCCTGCCTTGGAAACCAGGCGGGTTTAGAGGGAATTCAGCACCGGTGACTCACCAAAAGCTCTCTCACACATGTTACTCATGAGAGGATCTGCGGTGAACCTCGGGGACGAGCCTCCCGCTCTCCTGGAAACGAGATATCAAAGGAAAACCCAGGCGCTCTGCTCCGTTTGGAAGAATAATTTCATTAAATCCATATGCTATTTTAGTTTATCCATTTAATCACTGCCTTTCTTACTGGAGTCTCTGACTTCCCTCTGCATTTGGAAAGTGCCAGATATCTTTAATTCTTTGGCTCTCAAGAGGAGCTGTCCTCTTTTAAGCAGCTCTTGAAAATACTTTGTGTTCTCGTCATCTGATGTCTAACAACTCTCCAAACTGAAAGCAAGATGTAAAATCTCCCTGAAAAAAAACTGCCAAAACCCCATGAAACAAATAGGGAAAAATTTATGGCTCTTGAAACCTGGAGCAGTTCAAAATTTAATGCTTTTCCGCTTGCTCTTGAAGATGGGTTCCAAAAGTGTCGTTTATGGAGCTGTATTTCATTGCAAGTGTCATTTATGGAGCTGTGTTTTCCTGCCAGTTTCCCAGGTTTTGGATATCTCAGAGGCAGATACATCAGGAGATTGAGGGAGAATATCAACCCCACCCCCAGAGCCCCTCGTTTCTCTTGCTTTTATCAATTTGACTTACTAGCTGTAAAATCTGCAGGGGAATCTTCCCAATTTCCCTTGCGTCCGCAATCAGAGGGTTTCATTTGAAGCCAGAAATTAAACAGATTTCATGTGTCTGAGGCCAGGAAAAATTATTCCTGGGCTGTTTTCCCTGGGTTTTGGCATGTGGGTGATTCTGGCTGGCATTATTACAAGCCATGCAGTGGGAAATCGGTGCTGAGTTTTGCAATGGCAGCAGCTCCACCAGCTCAGCTGAGCTGAGAATATTTTTGGGGAGGCTGAGGAAACAGCAATTTAAAACCAGAACACTTTCATCTCTTCCCCAAAGAAGCTGGTGCTGACAGGCAAAGCTAGACAAGCTCAGGTAAGAAGCAAAATGTGGGGTTTTTTAAATTTTTTTTTGCACATCAGAATGGGTAACTGACTGCTGCGAAAATTCTCAGGCAAGTGGCTGACAGTTTTTTCATGCTGGATTTTACATTTCTGAACTAGGCCTTCTTATCTTTTTGGCCACAGGAATTATTTCAGGAGGATCCCGTGCCTGGCTTTGTGCAAGAAGCCAGGCTAAATGAACTCCCTGGCGCTTTGTGGCTCTTTTTATTTATTAGAATGTGCAAAATATTCAAGTGGAAAAAAAAATCAGTGCCATTGTTACATAAAGAACATTTTCAAGCCTGCAGTCTTCAGACCCACCAATCTGCTGGTGCCTGCAGGAGTTAGAAATTGCATATGAAAAAAAAACCCATCAATGATTAATGAGCTTACTCCAGTGACAAGTCCTAATCAGATTTTCTGGATTTATTTCCCAGTCCATCTCCAGAACTGGAGGGATTGTAGAATTCTCACAGCGTGTTGTGTGTTTCCATCAAATAGTTCAGGCAGGGAGTGACAGGGGAGGGTTGATCACCTGTTAACAACRTGAGCCCGCAACGAATCTGTTTCATGATGCTCATGGCTCTGAATTGCAAAGAGGAGCCTAAAAATGGCTCAAACTCACCCCAGAAAGCAAAAGCGCTCTGACAGCTTTGCTCTTCCAAAAAAATCACCATTATTTTTTGTGCTGGGGTGAAGCCTGACCCGTGGAGTCTCCTCAGYAATTCTCCATGTCCTTGAGCAGGAAAATCAAGAAGTGAACTCCTGCCTTTGTAAAAYACGTAGATGGCGAATGCTGATTGTCAGGAAAGTGGTTTTTTTAACAGGAAAATCAACTTAATTCGCCATCCAGCCAAGGGGCTGTGATTTCCTCCTCAAGTTTTCTGTGTTTTCCTTGCAATTGCTCTGGGGCTGAGGTCTCTGTCACCTGGCACAGCTCGCTGCTGGCAGGAGGGTGGTGGTGGCAGTTTTTAGGAGCTGATTGACACGTGCAGAAGTGGGGTAGACTGGCATCTTTAAATATCAGGGTGCGTTTGTTTTTTTGGGGTTYTTTTTWTTTTTTTTTTTTTTTTTTTKTTTTTTKGTTTTTTTTTGKTTTTTTTTTTTTTCAATGGAAGAGTAAAAGGCAGCATTTGGCCTCTTTCCATACCTAAAAAAATCCAGGATCTAGCTTATTTATCTGTCTCCTATGAAAGTAATAACAGAGCAGGGCTCGTGGCTCTCTCTGGGGTATGGAAAAATGAGCTTTAATCCCCGGTGTCCTCATTAGGGAGCTGCTTGATTTTAGCTGCGGTTTTATATCCTCACGTCTTTGTTGTTTTTGTTTTTCCTTTCCCGTTCACCCACCCGCTTTCCACAGTTCTCATAAAGCAGCTTATTGCTTTCTGTAAAAAAAAAAAAAATTAAAAACCCAAAACAAGCGAAGCACCAGAGGGAAGTAAAATCCTCGCAGAGTGCGTGAGCTCCGTGTCGGATGAGCTTTGATCCCTTATCCTCTTTGAGAGGAAGACTTTCTCCTCAAACCAAGCTGGAATTTCCCAAATTCTCAGGGGTTCCCGTTTCTCCTGCTGCCCCTTGGCCCCCAGCAATGATTGCAGYCCATCCCCAGTGTCCAGGGCTGGGCAGGGTTCAGGGGCTCCTGGACAAGCTGTTCTTAGGGAATTGCTATATTTAATCCCTTCCACACGTGTGGACTCTCCTTCTCGCCTGAATCTTTCTCTGAAATTTCCCTAACAAAATTCCCCGACAGAAAAATTTCAGGTTGCCACGGTGACCAGCTTGCTGAAGACACCGTGTAGGCTTCAGAGTGCTGGGGGAACTGTCACGTGTTCCCTCCCAAAAAACACATCTTTGATTTCTTCTCAATGTTGTATTCTGAGTTCAGATCCATTTCAGAGCAGAACCGCATCTTCTCTATCCTCAACCATCTCCGCTTTTGAGATTTCACAATATGTGTTGATTTGTGTCCCATGGGATTTATTTCACTCTTGGTAATTTTTTTGTGATTTTTTTTTGTAATTTTTTCCAACAGTCTGCTTCTTTTTATTCCTTTATTTTTTCACTAATCTGTCATTGCCACGACATTTGTGCACACACGAAACATTTTGCATGGGCAGGTTTTTTGCAGACTCCATACGACGAGAAGCAAACACTTAAGCAACTCGTTTAATCTGAATAGATTTTTCCCGAGGATGTCCGGTTGGTTCTGTGACCTATGAGACAAACCCTTGACATTTCTCCTTCCTCCCTGTTTTTAAAGCAGATTGGAGAATGGGAAGAATCGAGATTCGAATACCCAGCACGAAAAGAAAGAACCTGATGCCTCAGTCGTTCCTTTTGGTGAAAAAACTCTTCTGCAGTGGAGAGTGTTTCCCCAAACTCATTTTCTGCTCTGATGCCAACTGCAGGAGCTCGTGAAATGCTAAATACACCCATCCATAGTCCTTGTGATGTGTCTGAATTCCCTAGAAATTCCAGGACTGGAATTCCGCCGTATCCGGGCTGTTTTCCACCCTATTAAAAGCTTGTTATCCCATCTGTTTGTTCTCTGATTTTCGCCGATGCTYGTGGCTGATTATTGATTATTCAAACCCCGCTTAATTCCTTCCTCGCACCAAATGCAGGGGCTGGGGCTGGAGCCCGCCGGGAATTTGGATTTAATGGGTCGCTAACGTGGAGAGCTGCGGGCTGCTAATGACGACGATTGTCGGGTGCTAATGGTTTTTGGAGAAAGGTCGAGTTAGAGCAGATCTCTGGTGTGTTCCTCACCTGTGAGAGAAGATCCTGACAGTCTTGTCCTGTCCTCTCCACACCAGAGCCCACCCTCTTTGGGAAATGAAAAGTCACTGCGCAGTTTGGAGGGTTCTTTTTTTTTTTTTTTTTTTTTTTTTTTTAAGGCTTCACCGGTCAAAATCGACCGGTTTTTCTCTCTAAAGCCACTCTCCCACGCGGTTTGACTCTCACTTAATTTCCCCCTCCTGATTGCAGCGAGGTAGCCTGATTGGTAGGAATTTCCATCTCAAAAGCTTGAGGAAATGCATTCAGAGCCCTGGACGATCACCCTTGGCAGGGAGCAGAATGATAAAGTGCAGAGGTCCACCAGAAAAAGGGAAATTTTCCTTTTCCACCGTGATTTTGCTTTGCTTGGATCCACAGGACTGGGAACATCACCCCTTTGAGGCCAGGTTGGATCTGGGTTTGGAGCAACCTGGGGTAGTGGAAGGTGTCCCTGGTGTGGAATGAGATAACTTTTTAGGTCCTTAAGGTCCTTTCCAACCCAAACCACTCTGAAATTCCACGAAGTCCTTCATAACTTCTCTGCTGCAATTRAGGAACGTTTTTTAAGCATCTTTCTCCCCAAAAAGGAGGATTTCACAGCCCTGTGCTGATTTTTGGCAGAACCACGGCTCTTCCTTGGACAGGAGCAGCTGAGGAGATTTTTGAAACTGAAAAGCTCAAAGGATTGTGGTTTGGGACTTTTCACGTGGTGAGCAGGAGACCTTCCTGGCTTTTTTTCCTGGAAGGGATGAGGTGGATTCATTTATGGAACAGCTCCAGCTGGGCTTGTACCTTCCCTGTTTCACTCTTTGCTTTTCCCCAGTTCCCAACAGGCAGTTCTCGAGGCCGGGAGTGTGAGCCCTCCCAACTCAGCATATTCTATATTTTCCTGGTATGTGATCATTAAATGTGTGCTTCCCTACACAAAAACAAAACAAAACAAAACAAAAAAAAACCCAAAACAAACAAACAAACAAACAAACAAACAAAAAACAAAACGAAAAAAAAAGAGAAAAAGGGGGGGGGGAAAGGAAAAACGACACTTTTTTTGTGGGGTTTTTTTTTTCCCCCTAGCAAAATGATTAAAGGATACTTTAATCTCCCTGCTGCACGCATGGAAATGCCTTCACACCTAGAAGCTGATGCAGCATCTGCCGTGCAGATGTTTATCTGGCAGCAGGGAGTCGTATTTCCTTTGTCCACGTGGCTCCCCCGAGCCTTTCCCGGTCTGGAATCGCTGACTCGAGGGTTTGGTGCTCCAAAACACCGCTGATCTTTGCTGGGGATGCTCCCTTGCAGCTCCCCTGGCCGAGGGCTGGCTCTGCGTGAGCTGAGCGTGAGTTTAATTGTTGGGTTTTTGTTGGGGAGTGAAGATTGATGTGGCAGCAGGGACAGGGAGGGAGCTTCCCCCGCGCCCTCAGAGGCTCTGGAAGGAATGTGAAAAATAGGAATTCTCCTCTTGGAGGGTTTGAGGCTGCTCAGAAACTCTGAGACAGCAAAAAAAAGGGAAAGGGAGGCAGCAAAACCGCGAGGGGTGAGGCCGGGGCTTGAGGCGTGCAGGGAGTTTGTGTGTGTTTGAGCRGTGTTGCTCAACAGAAGGTGAAATTTCAACTTTTCAGCGTCATTTCAGTCGTAGGATGAGGAAAGAAGTGARGGTTTGGACTGGTGTAGTAATTTTGGGAGTGAGCAGGGAGCAGTGGAAGGACACCCAGCCCCTCACAGACCTCCAGCCTTGTTCCCGGCGAAGGGTGCAAACTGCTGGCTTCTTGCTCTCTGAGAAAAGAGTAAAACCTGCATCCGTCGCAGAATTTCTCCTTTTTCTACCCATTTTCTCCGTGTTTTTTTTGCACACCCCAGTGCTTTTCACACCGACAGAAATYCCCATGGTGTGGGATGGATGAAGGGCAGCACTCCACAGTGATGCTGCAGAAAAGCTGGGCTCAGCTCTGTTCTCTCCCTTCGGGGTTGTGGGATTTGGGCTCCAGAATGACACAGCCTCTCCCTCCCCAAACCTTCTTTTTGGCATTGTGATGTTCAGTGATGGACACCTCACCSCTGGAAATGTCCAAGACCAGCTTRGATGAGGCTTGGAGCAACCTGGTCCGGTGGAAGGCGCCCTGAGATGGTTTTTGAGGTCCCTTGCAGCTCAATTTGTGATTCTGTGATCATTTCTGGTGTGGTCAGTGCCACTGGAATTGCTATGTCAGTGGTCTTGTGGCAAATTCTGCTCAGGTGGCCTCGCTGGGGATGGGGAGAATGACCAGGGATGAAGAGGAGCTCAGTCCTACATGGAACTGGCCTGGAAAAGGTCCCAAAGAGCAGAATGACCAGCAGGATGGAGCCTGGCCTAAAAAAAAGTCCCAAAGACCAGACAGAGATGACCAGCAGGATGGAGCCTGGCCTGGAAAGGATCCCAAAGAGCAGAGATGACCAGCAGGATGGAGCAATGAATAGGGGTTCAGTCCTACATGGAACTGGCCTGGAAAAGGTGCTAAAGAGCAGAAATGGCCATCTGGATGGAGCCTGGCCTGAAAAATGTCCCAGAGAGCAGAGACGACCAGCAGGATGAAACCTGGAGTGAAAATGATCCCAAAAACCAGAATGACCAGCAGGATGGAGCGATAAACAGGGGTTCAGTCCTACATGGAACTGGCCTGGAAAAGGTCCCAAAGAGCAGAGATGACCATTTGGATGGAGCCTGGCCTGTAAATGTTCCCAAAGACCAGAATGACCAGCWGGATGGAGCCCAGYCYRTGKTGGAGAGAATTTTATTGCTCATCTTGGAGGAACGTGGAGGTTTCTGGGCTGAGCAACCTCAGCTCGAGTTGCTCATCCACACTGACCCCTGGATGATCTCTCTGAAATGAAGGAGATTTTATTTATTTATTTTGTTTTTAAATTGCCAAACCCATGCCCAGATTTGGAGCTGCTGGGATCAGCACCTGAGCGGGTTTGGTGGCACCACCGCGAGTTCCGCTGAGATTTGGGAGGGTTTGAAGGACACCCCGGTGTGCTGAGGGTGGAGAGCATCCTCCGTGCCACCATCAGTCAGTGGCTAATTGCCTCCCGCCGCTGCCGATGCCCACTAGGTGTCAGAATTGAATAAACTCTAAGAAGAGGCAGCGGCTTCGCTGCCGAATTATTCCTGCTTTTCATTCCACTCCTGATTTCTGGCCTGCTGTGCGATAAAATGACCTTTGTGCAAGRAGGCTCGCTCAGGGTGTTCAAACGGTGGATGCAGAGGAGAAATGACCGAG